CTTGTTGTGTTCTTTGTGAGAACAAGAAGCCTCTGCTTCTAACATGGTTCTTCTCTTGTGCAGACAACGAGGCAATCCAACACCACAGTTTTTGCATGCTATGCGCAGCCTAGGATTGATAACCGCAACGGTTTGTGGATGCCTAAATACCGGCTAACCAAAAGTTTTGCACACTGTGTCTTACCCTTATTTGGTATAATCTCTGAACTCTGATTCCGACCCTCGAGAATGAAGCATCACATATGCCCATTGAAGGTTCTTCTAAGTATAGCTATGTGATCAACATCTTACCAACTCGAGCCTCACAATAGTCCTTGTACCTTATGTAGAATTGTAGACAGCTGCATTTATGGCTTTGTTGATCCCTTATAATTAGGTGGATCCACATCTTCAGTAGTTTCTATGGCCACTTTACAATCTATAAGTATGAGTTGGGATGAATTGTGCAAGTGTGAGTTCTGACAACTGCGAGTTCCACTTCTCAACGCTTCATCCTTGTTTGTACTTAATACAAGATATAAATCATCAGTAAGCGATGAGTTAGTGGACTAGTTAGCCATTCTAGTTACATAATTAACTAGTGCATAATTATGGTTCTTCTTTTTTCATGTCAATTCCATAATTATGTTTACAATTTTTTGAAAAAAATCGGTTACAGAAAAATCGACGGCTTGCGTTAAAAAAACTTACCCCACATGTCAAACGTAAAAATTCATTACAACAAATTATCCATTTTTTTAGCCAACTATTTTTTCCCAAACTTCATTCATTTCAAAAAAAAAACTCTTCTAGTTCTACAAAACTGCACGTTGATCTTCATTTTATTTTTTCAATATTATAAAAATATTTAATGCAAAATTATATTTATCTAAATGCAAATTATAAAATAATTTAGCAAGAATTTTCTACTTCTCCACATCTTAAAAACCTTTATTTATTATTTTTCTAAATGCAAATTATAAAATAATTTAGCAAAAAATTTCTACTTCTCCACATCTTAAAAACTGTATGATATCTTTTTTACGGTTTGAGAAGCAGAAGATTTAGATCCGTACATGTTAACCATTTGGACGTCAGATAAAAAAAACAGAGTAAAATATAATCATGATTTTTCTTTATTAAAATCAACTACGAAAACCGCTACAACTTTACGGATTTTTAGCCTTAGATGTATATGAATAATGTTTAAACAAAGATGTGCCTGAACAAAGATGTGCTTTCTTGGAAAAAAATAATACATTATGTCATGAGAAAATATGTTTTTAATGCAACAAGAGACGAGAAGATAAATAACAAATACTACGAGGAACTATATTGGTAAGATTCTGGAAATTTTTATTAGCATACCTTCTTGAAATAAATTTCGAATGTCGTCCGGTGATAAACCTAAAAAATTAGAAAAGTATATTGAGACAAGACCTTGGATTTTATTGACAGATTTGTATTTGAAAATTGACTTTTACAAATGACGTAGAGGATCCAAAGTATGTGATTCTTTTATCTAGGTCCCATATCAATTCCTTTGGGATGTCAATTGGGTTGATGCTAGAATCATGATCAGAAAAAAACCTGCATAAGTATATCAAATTGAGGCCGCAATAGAATGTTGTTTGTGGTCATTTTATTAAGTTGAATTCATTTGTAGAAAAGTTGCCTCATTGGTTTGGAAGTATGATCCATTTAGAAGGAATCGACCTCTCATTTGTTGTTCTGCATAGTATATGTTCACAAACAAATTAGTCATTTTTATACTTTCCAGATATTTCAACTTAAAGATAATCTCTTGAAATTTGTCCCCATACCATAATAAAATTTCAAGAGATTATCTCTAAGTTGAAATATGAAGAAAATATTAAAATGACTAACTTGTTTGTGAACATATACCTTGCAGAACAACAATGAAAAGTGGATTCCCTCTAAATGGGACATACTTCCAAACCAATGAGGTAACTTTTCTACAAATGAATCCAACTTAATCAAATGATCACAAACAACATTCTATTGCGGCCTCAAATTGACATACTTATGCAGGTTTTTGCTGATTATGACTCTAGCATCAACCCAATTGACGTCCCAAGAAAATTGATATGGGACCTAGATAGAAGAATCGCATACTTTGGATCCTTTTATTTGTCATTTGTAAAAGTAAATTTTCAAAACAAAAGTGTCGATAAATCCAAGGTCTTGTCTGAATATACTTTTCTAATTTTTAGGTTTATTAGTGGACGACATTTAGGAAAAAAATTCAAGAAGGTATGCTTATAACAAATTTTAAAATCTTACCAATATAGTTCCATATACTATTGGTGACTCCTCGTCCCATATCTTGTTGCATTGAGAATATTTCTTTTCATGACATAATGTGTGATTTATTTTCCAAAAAAGCACATCTTTGTTTTGTTTAGGCGGTTGAATGGAATTTACGGTTTCAGCTGGTATAGAAAATTATGCAATCACATGTTATGATATCATTCATATACATCTAAGGTTGTAAACCCGTAAAGTTGTAGCGTTTTTTCGTAGTTGATTTTAGAAAATATAAATCCTGATAATATTTTATTTTGCTTTCTTCTTATCTAGCATCCAAATGGTTATGAAATCGCCGGTTAAGCTCTGATTCCTGCTCTAGAATCAGAAACGGAAAACATGAGCGTTCGAAAGTGCTTGGAATCGCAAGGGAAGCGCGATTCCAAAAAGGTGGTGATTGGAAATGTTGTGGGAGCGCACGATTATGAGTTGGATTCGTGGTTTTTCCTAGTTCTCGGCCAGATCCAAACGAAGATGACGACATCTTTTTCCAGGTGGATTATTTGCTTTTAAATTTTTAATTTATCTTGGCCCAATTGTCTAAGAGCACTTCCAACATTGGTTTTTCATTGGCTATTTAGGGAATTAAAAAATAAAAATTAACTAAAAGTAAGAGAGAAAATAAAAAACGTTTCTCGTTTGGAAAACTGTAAGAAACTGTCTCTAACACCTGGCATCATTTGTCTAGTTTAAATTTTTTAATTAATTGAAATTTAAAGAACAAGCCAATGTGTAAAGAAAAAAACTGTAAAAAAAAACTATATAACTAAATTTGCTCGCACTAGCACTTCCACGATCAAACTAAAACCATAGCATGATTTATTAACAGATTCATCTCCTCTTTAACCCAAATTAATTCAATTTCTTCTCTGACGATTGAAATTCTATTAAGGTTAATACTTAAATTTTATTCATGTTCATTCATTTGCTTTTTAACTCATATTAATTATGATTTTATCATTTTATTTTCTCAGTTGGAATATACCTCTGGATTATATTCATGCATCTAAATTCTACAAGAAAAAAATGGAAGGTCAAAGCTTTAATATCTAGGATAAAAATATCTTAAATTTAGTTTCATGTCATCACATTTAAGACATCATTCATTGTCTACAACAATCCTTTGAATTCAAAGATTTTTTTTGTTCCGGACGTAGTATGGAGTAGGATACTAGTTGTTAATAACCTAATTTGCATATATATTTTTATTATATACTCCCTCTGTTTCATTTTATAGGATGTTTTAGAGTTTTTAGTTTGTTTCAAAATAAAGGATGTTTACAATTTTCTATGCAACTTTTAAATGACTTTTAAATGCATTTGATATTTTATCACTATTTATGTTCTGCAGTCTTTTATATCACTGGTTGAATTCTACTAAATTACATATTAAATGATAGTTTTTAAAAGCAAAAATTAATTTCTTAAAATATGTGCTTTTAGTCAAAACATCATATATTTTGAAACAGAGGGAGTACAAGAATATAAATTTTGAAAACATTGTATACCTAAAATTATAATATTTGTATCTTATGTTTAATTGTGATTATGATTTGCATGTAGTAATTTAATGCCTAAACTTTTAATTAGATTATAACTTATGTATTTACAATATTATATATATATATATATAGACCTTTCCAAAAGGTACCCAATTTATTTTATTTTTAAAAATACTCAAAAATATAGCTTCGCGCTTTCTAACGTTTCGCTTACACATACCCGTTTTTGATTTCATGCATCGTAGTCCGGTATCCAAATGGCTAACAAGTAGGGAATTAAATCCCCATCTTCTCGCCTCTCAAACTATAAAAAAGATATCAAACAACTTTTAAGACGTGGAGAAGTAGAAAAATTCTTGCAAAATCAAAAGAGATATCAAAACTGCTTTGATTGATTGTAACAACATGCTGACTAAGCCACAACAAGGTGACCACCGATCATCACAGATGACTTTGATGATTCTAGGATCCTTGGTATTGAACCCCTAAGATCCATTCAATGATCTCTAGATCTAGTCAAAACCCTAATCTATCAAACAAATCTCTTGCCAAAGTACATTATATAAGAAGATGAAAAAATTACCTCGTATTTCTTCAAACGTTTCATACATTTCGACCTCTAACGAAAGTTATGATTCAAAGCCTCTTTGCTTTCAATCCGCAGCGACATCGTCGTCTCCATCCTGAAGCTTGTGTGGTACGAAATAAGGAACCTTAGAAGTGAGCGGCTGATGCTTTTAACGATTTAGGTTTTAAGTTTTGACCATGCGATTATATATATCCCCTTGTCCATCGGGCCGACTCATTTTCTGGGCTTTCTGTTGGGCTTCACAATCCTTTTTTTTTTTTTTTTTTTTGACAGCAAAAAAATACAATCCTTAATCTCATTTCGTTTATTGCTTTTGCTATCTTTTATTTCTTTTAACAACATCTTTCTTTCCTCAACAACAAAATACGGTACCATGAAATCATCAAAAAGACCTTGGAGCACCAGCATATTGATACAATAATGAAAATAACTGCATAACTAGATAATAATTCAATATTGGTTCTAAATTATGGGAACAAACGTTTCATGCTATAAAGAATTTTAATTTTTAACAATTGAATTTTTTTTATAACAAATACTAGATCCAACCAATTGAAAAACATGCTTTTGATAAATTAAAAAAAAAAAATCACCAATCCAACATGGGGATATTTGTAGCAAAATTAAATTCACCAATCCATTGATTTAATCCGTCCTATGTGAAAAAAAATGGGGATATTTTTAAAAAATTAAAATCACAAAAAAAATTTTGGAATTGAAATTATTAAATTTATTTATCAATAAATTTAATACACAAGAAAAAAAACAACGCAATCTCGGTTGAAACAAACCAAATGAAGCTGAAAAGAGCTAAGGTCGAAGTCTCGTGGTGAGCTGATGCTATTTTCTGATTGATTTGTCAATGGTTTGTGTGAGAGGATGAGGTGGGTGATGTCCTTGGTGGTATCGTCTCCCATTCTTTCTCGTCCACACATGATAGATCATGGCTTAGAACAATAGCCGGATTGGAGTTTGTCTACATCATTTCCTTAATTTCCCTAGAATTCTTTTGTATTTATGCATAAAATTTTGGTATATATATTATCTTTCAGAATTAAAAACAAAGCCATTTTATAAGACTTGTTCGACATCTTGTAAAGTGGAATTTAGTAAAGGTTTCTTTTGGTTGAAGGAGCCAAAATGTGACACATGAACCATAAATCATTAATGTTTGAAATTTTGGCTTTCAATTTGAATTATTGACCGCGACGAGTATGTATACAATCTTAGATTTAGACATTGTTATTATCAACGCTTAATCTCGTGTTTAAGAGACTGTAGATGTTTGAATAAGACTATAGGATACATTAAGTCTATCTGTATTTTGTGTCAAAATGTTATTATAAGCACTCTTGAAAATGTGTACATAACTATATATATACGGAGTGTACACGTGAATATTATCGACCGAGATGGTCCAATAGTCAGTTTGTTCTTTCTTTATTATGTTTGTCGTCAACTTTATCTTATTAGGTTTTTTCATTAATAATGATAGATTTGGGCTTTAACATGGGTTTCCAACTCAAAACCAATTGGCTATGAGTGGATTGGCCCTAACCCTTTATATATCACTTAATAATTTCTCTAACTTCCGATGTGGGACTTTCTCTCATTAACACCCCCCTCACGCTCAGACATCTTTGGCTCTGAAGCGTGGGCATATGTGGGAACAACATCCACGGGGTGGCCCGATATGGGACTTCAATAACACCCTCTCTCACGCTCAGGCATGAACATCTGAAGCGTGGGCATATGTGGGAACAACATCCACAGGGTGGCCCAACGATCGGGTGGCTCTGATACCATGATAGATTTGGGCTTTAACATGGGCTTCCAACTCAAAACCAATTGGCTATGAGTGGATTGGCCCTAACCCTTTATATATCACTTGATAATTTCTCTAACTTCCGATGTGGGACTTTCTCTCATTAACAAATAACACAAAAGCCATACAGTCTCTCTAAGTCTCTACATATATAATTAAATACGATGGTCTAGTGATTTTCTTTACTTTATAAGTCGTATCTATTCGGTTCCAAATCCGTATAATGCATGTTAACTACAAAAATTTCATTCGTCCAATATATGTTTGTGTGAAATCTATTTATGTGCATATTATACACACATTCAGTTTTATTTGTATCATGTACGTACAAGATTGTGATTTACGAACACTCTTTCAATTTTATTGGATTTATATCTAAAACTTACATTGCATTTACGAAAGTAAAGTACGTCTTAGGTATCATGTGGCACTAAATAAGAATCGTCTTCTTAATATGTGTTAACTTGTGTGCACTTGTTCTATTAAAACAGACTTTAAAAAAAAACTATATATCCATTTATTATTCTAAATTTTAAACCAAATTTATAAGAATTTGTTTTTTTTAAAGAGATTGAATATTTCCAAATAGTTTGAGATGGTCCTAGAATATGAAAACAGATATGAAAAGACACTTGATAATATTTCCTTAACAAAAAAAAAAAAAACAAATTGTATGATTTACATCAAGAAAAAAGTATTAGATTGAGAAAAACAAAACGTCTCAAAAATATATTTTTAAAAAGAAAATGAAAGTATCCTACATGTGATATTGACGAACCAACTAACTCATACATTAATATATATCTGTGTCCACCAATCCCCCAATCCAATCAGACAGCGGTTTATATAAAATATCTAATTTGGTTTTTATCTAACTAAATCGTTACATAACGGAATCGGTTTTGAAAAATATGTTTCGATAATTTGGTCCTAATCTTTTAATTTCAAACAATATCATGAAGTAATTGAGCTCCCATCAAATTCCTATAAGGCAAATTCTGAACTTGATCATCATCTAACATCGACGCTGAATATTGAACCGGTCCTTCTTCAATGTGATCTCTACCGTAGAAAAGTTGGCCACCTTGAGCCGTCACCGGAGACAACGCTAAACTCACACCACCGTTACCATCGTTACGTTGTAGCCCAAGCGTCAACGACACGTCACCACGTGGCCCTCCTTCACCAGCATATGTCACAGCTTGGTTACCGTACAAGGAGAAGTCAAACGTTGACCCCAACGACGTCGTCCCATGGTTTGAGTTGTGACCGGTTTTGGATGTAGGGTTTGTCACTATTGAAGATAAAGATTCCGGTTCGACGCGGATCAACTGGTTCGGGTCCGGTTTAGTATCGATCATCATCGGGTTTGTAATCTCCATTTGTTCACCTCTTGTTTCTTCACAGTACATTTCTTCAATCATTGGTTTCCATAGCCTAACTCTTGCATTAATGAACCAATTTGACACCTAACAATTTTGGTTTATTATAACTTTAGTAAATAGGATAATAAATTTTGGAAATATATCAAGAATTAGTGGAGTTATTCTTTACCTGACTTCTTGATAAACCAGTTTGTCGGGCCAATATATGCTTATCAACATCGCTTGGATATCTGAAAATAAAAATTTACTTAATGGATATGTAATTAAAAAAGGGATATAAATGATTGAAGAATGATGCAAAGAAATGGAAGCAAAGGTAAAGGGTTTAGTGAAAACTAACAAGATGTTTCATTGTTTGAGCAGTGTTTGGGAATTGATGGAGACAAGTCTTACATATGATGATAAACATATAACTTCTGAAAATAAAATTATATAAAAAAAGAAAAAGTAAAAGAAAAAAAAAACATGGAGAAAAAAGCTAGGAAAAAAGCAAGGAGTTATGCATAGTTTCTTTCTTTTGTTAGTGTTAGGTAAAGAACATTGATTCTCTCTCTCAATCCACTTTGTACCTTTCTCTATTTCTGTCTTTCATCCACCAGTTAAATTTATTTTTATTTATTTATTGCATGTTTGTATACATATATACATGTGTATATGTATATGTTTGTACACTCACTTTCACACCAATGATGCAAGTGAAAGAAAAAGGAAAATAAAAAAGCTATATGCAATTAACAGATTAAGGTAGATTGTATCCTATGCTTGTCAAGTCAATCTCAATCTCTCTATATAAAATGTATTTATCTTCTCTTTTTACTTTTATATATGTTCACAAATATTCATGTAAGAAAAAACCCTATATATACTATTTATCAATGCTTCATACTTTCAATAAAACAAAATCGTTACAGGTTTTATATCTATAAATATACCAATTCCAATTAAAACTTTCAAACTAGCTTAACTCTTGTGATTCTACATTCATTAATTAGTCACTTAAAAAGACACATAATAAGTAAATTATATGATTAAAAAAGACGCGTTTTCATGGGATTTTAAGAGGGTACGTGTGTATGAAATAACTTACGGGTGAAGAAAATGTTCAAAGAGCCAAGCTCTCAACGTTGTGACTGCGCGTTCAGGCAAACCGCGTTGTGGACGCCAAGGATGAGCGTCGACGAGAGTCATTTGACGATACGATTTCTGTTGCCGCAAAGCTTGATCGAGCAATCTCAACCGTGGAGTTTCTCCACGTGCAGCAATCGAAACCGCACGATTATCCTCTTCTCTCTCTCCCAAAGCTTGACTTGTTGCTTGAATCTGTCCCACAAGTCCGTCTTTTAAACACCGAAAATGTCTTGACATTGCCCTTGACGCTAACGCAGTGTATATCTCTGCCGCTCCTACTCCAACCGCGGCTTCAAACGCTGCCGCCGCAACTCTCATTTGCTCTCGGTAATGTCCATATCTTCTTTTAAGCTGCGTAAGAAAACGTAAAAAAACGTTACCCCACACCATTCACAAAGATTTCAATCACATCGTATAAATGTAGATTCATAAAATGAGTAAATTCATGAAAAAGAAACAACTCGTTATGGCTTATGATGATGAAACTGATTGCTATTAATATGGAGGACCACTAGAGTCTCCAAATTAGATCAAGCAACGAAAATAAATTTTATTTTGGTTCTATAGAAAAAAGAAATAATGAGTAAAGGAATTTAAAAGGGTTGATCTTTTCGTAGTGATACGATCGAACTTGTTTTTGACGAGAATAGATGAAAGAATGAAGACAAAAAGGAATCTTTTTATCTTTATATCTAAAAGAAATTTGTAACTTTAAGAAATATATGGACCTTAATCAAGAATCGAAAAAATACAAGATTTTTGGGTATTTTACATATTTAGGAATAAGTTGAAACCAAATGAAAAAAGAAAAAAAAGATTTAGATATTTTTAAAAACCCATGTAACGTTTTGACACAAGATTTGTGGGTATTTTACATTTTTAGGAATAAGTTGAATTACCAAATAAAAAAAGATTAGATTTTCTAAGAAACCCATGAAATGTTTTGATAGTAAAAAAATAATTTCTTGAAAATATATATATACCTCTTCGAGCATGGAGAGCAACTTGGCTTTTCTTTTCTGAAGTTCCATAAACTCAAGAGAGTGTAGTGGAGGAACATGTTTCTTTGAAGAAGTAGTTGCAGATTGGTCATGTTGATCATTGTTGTTGTGATGACTTGTGTCCCACTCTTCTTGTTGTTTACCCTTTTGCTTCTTCTTATGCTTCATCATCATCACTTCTTCATCACTTTCCTTTACTCCAAGACTGCAAAACTCACTTAGTAGCTCTTGAGCTGGACTCAAATACTTGGAACTCCCAATCTGAAACTGATGATGATGATTGTTGTTGTTGTTGTTTTGGTGGTGACTATTCATCATCATCATCATCATCTGGGTGTGTTGGAGATTCTGATGATGTGTTGATTTACCGGAATACCCTTGTTGTTGTTGTTGGGGTCTGAGTTCGAAAGATTGGAGACTGATGCTTGTAGGATTTGAAGAGGAGAGAGAAAGGGAAAGACCTTGGCTTGGTCTTTGTGGTGGTCTCTCATCATTTACTTCACTTGGGAAATCATTATTAACATTGCATAGTCTCATGGTAGATGAAGAATCTTCCAGAAGCTGATTCTGATTAGTACCACCACTTGTCTGATGATGATGATGATGATGATCCGGACCACTTGTCATCCTAATCTGTTGTTGCTTGGAGAAGTCTATCATCATACCCATGTTGGAGTTTGAGCCAAAGATCTGATGATTATAATGATGATGATGATCGGTTGGGTTTTGGTTTGTCTCATCAAACCCTTGGATCTGATTAATCATCTGATGTTGTTGCTCTTGATGATGATGGTTATTGTGACCATAGAACTGATCTCTTGCCATGTCTCTCAAGAATTGAAAACCCAAAAAGAAGAGAAGAAAAAAGAAAACTCTTTTTGGGACAAAAACAGGAGTTTCATTAAGATCTACAAGAACCCATCTCCAAGATAAAGTTAAAAAGAATCAATAAACAAAATAGAAAGGCAAATCTTTTTCATACCCTGAGTCGCCAAATCATGAGAAAAGAGAGCCAAAGAACACTACAAAACTTTGTATCAGAACCAAGTCAATAGAGATAGCTCCTAAAACCCTACAAGAAAGTAGTTTGCATAAAGATGTGTGAATTATTTTTCTTCTTATTCTTTAGGTGAAGAGGGAGAGAGAAAAGAGATTATAGGAGAAGAAGATAGACGAAGAAGAATAAAAGAATTAAACAGAAGAGATATAACAGAGAGAGAGAGAGAGAGGAAAAGAGATTGTGTGGCTTCACCTCTCTCTTTTGTTTTGTACTTTGACAAAATTTAATTTTTCTTTTAGTATGGGTCTGTAAATTGTACTACAGGCAAAAAAAATGGTTAAAAAATAAAAAATGAAAAAGAAAAAAAACCTAGGAAGAGAAAAAATCAGATGGGTATCTCTTCAGAGATCAGAAGATAGGTGATCATGACCCTCCCATAGAGTCTATAGCTAGCAATCAATGTTTTAATCTATTTCTCTCTCTATATATATATATCACAAGTGGGTCAAAATGCTTTACTATTTTCAAAAGAAATATTAATATCATTTTTATTTTTTTCGAGTATAAAATGCCTCTCAATTATACATTTTGTGTATTTTGGTATACGTGAGTCATAAACATAATGAAATTAATGGTTTTTATTATTCTTCGTCTTTGACGTCGTATTATTACTAGTCTGACCAAGAAAATACTACAGGTGTCTCCCTCTATTCTTTATTTTCTTCCTTCAATTATTAATTAAGAACCTACTAATTTGAAAAATTAATTTACAAAGAAAATTCAAAGAGGATGATACGTGATAATGATATATATACGTACATTGGTCCAGTGATTTGGAAAAAAAAAAATGATTGGAACAAATAATTAAATTAAACTAATGTGAAAAATAAGAGAACCTTTGCCGGGTACACAAACTAGTTACAAGCCGTCGTTATATGACATCTCTACGTTGGTTTAATTATTTATTAAACATATTTTAATATTTAAATGCTCATATATATATATATATATATATATGTATATGTGTGTATTTAGTATTTTGATTCTTATTGCTAATCCTATACGTGTAATATAGGTGTGTATGTAGATATGTATACAATATGTTATCTAAGAAAATGATATCAATTTTGGTGATGCTAGTTTCGTTTGCTAGCTATGTAAGCAACATTTGTTATTAAATAAATATTTTATCAACTACTTTTTAAACATTTTTGTGAACATTGACGATGATTTAATAATTTAACAAAAAACAATTCTATATTTAGCCAACCAGTCTCGTGAATGTACAAATTTAACTACTATTTTGTACAAACGGTATCCCTTTCTATACATAAATAATCGTAATATATAATACACGTATGCCTCTGCATATTTTGCTCCTAAAATATTATCAGCTTTATAACAAAATTATTTGATGGCAAGTTAATGAAATGAAAATGAATTATTATGGAAGGTGTACCAAGATTAATTTCGCCAGAAGAGTCTGCTCGTAAATATGAGAAAAATCTATCTAGACAGTAAAAGTTATAATTTCTTCGTCAAAATATAACTAATTACTCTAGTAGGATTATTATTATATATTGTTTGTTATAAAGTAAGATAATTAATTATTTTATGTTTTTTTGGAGAAATTAACATACCAATAGATATATATGTATATATGTTGGTGTATAGATGGAGAGGTAAATAAATGAAAGAGAACGAATCCCAAGAAATCAAACCAGAAGTAGGAGTTGAGTTCAGGCTTTTCTCAGATATATCTCAGTGTCACTTCTCCTCTGTTTAACAATTACCATATCAATATCATAAAATAAATTAAATATATAAACATTTTAATAGCAATTATAGTAGACTAACTATTGTAGTCCCGTGTAAATTAGCGAGTAATACAACACAAATGGACTGGTGTCATTATTTGACTTGCACTTTGCACAGTACGTGAAAGAGATTGTGTAGTACGTATTAGATTGACGATATATATAATTATACATTTAACAAAAAGCTATATCTATATATTAAATATACGATAGGGGTTGATCCCATTTTTAAAACACGTAGTTAATATCGGGCTCTAACTAATCGAGAAGGTACAAAAAAAAAAAAAGTCCTTCCGTCACTAAATTGTACAAACTTGTTAGTAACTTCTAAGGCCAAGAAGTTATATGAGGATTTAATGGTTTTCTATTAAATTCCATTTAATACGTACGTAAAAGAAAAAGAAAAATTCAAAGTTTTTCTTAAACATTGTTGACATACAAAATCATATGTTCAAATTTTAAATAAATGTTTCCTAAATGTTGACATAGAACAATATTTAGTCTTTCTTCTGTTTGGCATATGTTTTATTAATTGTTGTAAAAATTGTGTTTAATTGCAAAATTTGAAAATTCCTCTCTTTAGAATTTAGATATGCGACATCTTAACATTCAAACCATAAGTCAAACGCCACATTATGAAAAAACGTATAATTAATTGAAGTTTCAAAAACATTTACTAAAATATTAATTAATTGGAAAAAAGAAGTTAATTAAATAGCTTTTTTAAGTAGGATAATCTTCGATTAGTTAACATCAAGCCAAGTTGTAAAAGAGGACATAAAAAAAGATACATAGAAGAGACAAAAACAACACTGTGTTTGTAGTTATTTAACCGCTAAAACATTTAATAGAATAACCCAAAAAAAGCTTACTTCTTTCATTGGATGGATAAACCAGTGAGTTTTCTTATAAATGACAAATTCGAATATAACTTATAACCAACAATATCACAAAAATTTGATATTACTTGTGTTATAGAATATTCACAGTCAGTTGCTTAAATATCTACTATACATTTTTGCAGCAGTTTTTGGGGTACCCAAATCGGGTCAAATTTGTTTAATTTTGACCCGGAAATCTTCAATCGGATCTTTCCTTAAATTTTGGCAAAATTAAAAAACGAAAATAATTAATAAAATCTAAAATATATATACTTTCTCAACTAATTACTATATTTAAACGCTTTATTTATGGTATATTCTCCACGATTTTTATAGATAAAGAAATCAAATATGATGATTTAATGCTAATATAACAAATTTGCACTAATTTCCTAAAACCTCTCTACCTAATTTAAACATAAATATATGATTCTTATTTCACTTTTATTTGATCTTATATTTATATTATTTTAAATTATTATAAAATATATAAATAGTTAGTAAATTTTAGTTTTTTTTTTTCTGCATATGTTACAATTCAAATTTTTTAATAATACAATTATTATAAAATATATAAATAGTTAGTAAATTTTAGTTTTTTTTTTCTGCATATGTGAAATCCTATAAATAACAAATCAAAATACAATTATACAATCTTAAACACTAAACAAAACAAATACAACTTAAATTTTTTTATTTTAGATACAACGCATGTGACCCGCGGTATACAACAAAAAATATTATACACAATAAATTCATCAATTTATAAAAATAAAAAAATCAAATAATTAACCCGCGGTGTACCGCGGGTCATATCCTAGTAGTATACTACATCAACTTCATATATGCAAAAAAAAACCGAGAAATCCATCGTCTAATCTTTACCAACTAAAAAAAAACAAATCATTTATACATTTAAACTAGATAAGTAACCCGCACCTTGTGCGGGAAGAAATAATTAGTAAATAAATTTAACATTGGGGTTAACTATATAATCTATTGTAATGGCAAAAATGTGTAATGACTTTAGATTTTATATGGAAATATGAATCGTCTATAAAATGATGATTATTTTGATATTATAACTTATTATTAATAGGATAAATAATTCACTTAAAATTATAATTACGATTTTTATGTATTGTTTGTGAATTTGTCTGTGTTTTGATTCACAAACAAAGTATATGTGATTGTGATTTTTTGAATCATTGTGGATGAAGATGATATTGGCACTCTATTTATAGGAAAATATGGTTTTGGAATTTTTTTTTTTTATTTTTTACAGATTTAATGTTGTGGTTGTATTTATTTAAGATTTCGTTTTGAAAATAGATTAATTTTAAAACCAAAATGAATATATTTAGTGATTGCTAATTTTGTTTTGAAAACAAATTAATTGGAAGAACAATACATATAAATGAATTTATTATCTACTTATATTATTTGATGGAGGCATGGAGCTGTGCTTACTGCTTATGGCTAGTTCGGTGTTAATATTACCATAATCTCAACAACTATTTTCTAAAGTGGATGTAAAGAATAGATCCTAAGATTAAAACCATAATAGCATGGAAACGACAGATCTTCTGTTAGGATTTATTTATTTAAAATAATAAATCAGATTAAGCACTGAATTTGAACCTTAGTGCTAGTGTAAATAAATCCAAGAAGTATTCTAGTTTAAATTAAACCTAATGGGTTTTTTTTAAACACATAAATGATTATTTTAATAATAATGAGTTTTACTTAAAATAAATTACTTACAACATACTAACATAATATCCCTTATACAAATATATATATATATATATATATATATAAATATCTTCAAATACAAAAATATACTATATAGTGTTTTAGTTAATTTGAAAACGAAAATAACAGTAGTTTATTTGAATATTCATATGAAGTTTACTATTATTTTCTTAATACACTAATAATCACTTATGACCAATATTAAATACAAAAATATGTTAAATAGTGTTTTAATTAATTTGGAAAATAAACGAAAATAAAAGTAGTTATTTGAAATAATAATTATGTAAAGATTAATTGCTTAATTATTTGTTTTTTTAATTTATGTGATATATGTAATGTATGAGACTAATGGTAAATTCTGTAAATAGTCTAATAGAAGTTGGGTAATTATTTAAATAAGAGCCAAATCATTGTGAGAGCGACACATCAGCGTGACAATCTTGTTAAAAACACATCAGGGTAAGGTTTATTTTTTATAGTGTTTCTCTATTAATATATAGGGGATTTGGAAAATAAACGAAAATAAAAGTAGTTTATTTGAAATAATAATTATGTAAAGATTAATTGCTTAATTATTTGTTTTTTAATTTATGTGATATATGTAATGTATGATTAATGGCAAATTCTGTAAATAGTCTAATAAAAGTTGGGTAATTATTTAAATATGAGCCAAATCATTGTGAGAGCGATACATCAGCGTAACAATCTTGTTTTTAAGTGTTTCTCTATTAATATATAGGGGATATGTTACATGTGTTAATTATAAACTGTTAGAGGATACTATCAAGGAAGTACGGGATAAGAATATCCAAAACTTTGAGATTTTACATTAATAACAAACTATTAGTTTCAGAATTGGGGTATTTATAATTGTTGTCAAAAATTGTTCCCAAACTAAGGGACTGTGCATGAGAGGTGATTAAGTGGTCCTCCATTTTTTTTTCTTTCT